GACTCACCCAAGACACTGAAAAAACCTGGTTCAGTCACAACTGCAAGTTGTAATAAAGAGACAGCACGACCGTTAACAGATGTGCTCTGTGAATGGTCTGCAGGCTGCTCAGTCTAGCTAATTCACAGGGGGAAGAGGGATGAGGTATCTGAATGGAGGTCGTAAGAAGTCTTTCTCAACACCAGCTAAACATAGTTTACTTCAATTCTGGACAGGGGTAAATCCCAGCAGATTTAAGAAACTCATTTCACCCATTAGAGAGCTGGTAGGACATCTCCCCTCTCAGAAGAGGAAGTAGAGACTGAAGTGGGTGAAGGGGTTGTTGCACAACAGCAATATTATACCACAAAATGAATTTGTGGTATAATACAGACATTTGTCTGTAATGGTGCATTGCAAAGCATTTGTGCTAGGGGCAGCCAAAAGCCTGGGTGAGTCTACATAAAGACATAAAGTTATCTTTGCAGTTGTTAACCTTTTGCCTAACTAAGAACTTTCCAGGGGTGAACTGTTATCATGCATTATTCTGTACAACGAGCAGAAAGTCAAAGTTCATTTAGTTAATCAGTATCTTTAAGGTACAGCTGTTATAAAAACCGCAGCTGGTTTATCTACAGACACACAGCCACCATGGAGCTGCGTCTCTCTGTCTGCGTCCTGCTGCTACTTTGTGCTGCAAAAACATCAAATGGAGGGAAGATTTTGGTGTGGTACACTGAGGCCAGTCACTGGCTCAACATGAAGCCGGTACTGGAGACACTGGTGGACAGAGGACACCAGGTGACGGTCCTGGTCCCAAGCGCGTCGATGTTCATGAACAGCAGCGAACCGTCTCGCTTCCAGTACGAACCTTTTGACGTTGACTTTCAGTGAAAGATATAGAAAAGTGTTTTGATGATCTTCTTCACTTCGCCATTTATGAGATGGATTTTATGAACCCCATTCAGATTTACATGAAATTTATAGATTTAACAAAGAAACAACATGAAAATTTCTTTAAAGTTTTTGGATGGCGTGTTGAAATCAGAAAACATCATGAAGAAGCTGAAGGAGGGAAACTACGATGTGCTATTTGCTGATCCGATCTACCCTGGCTACGACCTGACAGCAGACATCCTGGGAATTCCTTTTGTTCTTTCTTTGCGTTTTTCCTTGGCTCATCACTGGGAGAGGATGTGTGGTCAGCTTCCTGCTCCACCGTCCTTTGTTCCAGCTGCTATGAGCAAACTCACAGACAAGATGGACTTCTCAAAGAGACTGTTCAACTTCCTCTTCTATGCTCTGCAGGACGTTGTAATAAACCAGTTCATGTTGAAAGATATTGACAAATATTACTCTGAAATCAAAGGTAAGAAACCCATTAGTATTTTTGAATATTCAAATTTTTCTAAGTTACCATAAAAGCTTAAAAATCTTTTCCTTATTGTTATGTGTCCACTATAAAAGGAACACCCATTACCCACTGCAAGATGCTGGGAAAGGCGGATATCTGGCTGCTGAGAACCTACTGGGATTTTGATTTTCCTCGTCCACTCCTCCCCAACTTTAAATTTGTTGGAGGGATTCACTGCAAACCAGCTAAAGCTTTACCAAAGGTGGATTAAATCCACCAATTCAAATAATCAGTCAACAAAATTCTGAATTTAAAACCAACTAACTGGCTCAATGACGAAAAATATGACTATTTTGCAGGAAATGGAAAAGTTTGTCCAAAGCTCAGGAGATGCTGGGATTGTTGTCTTCTCTTTAGGATCAATGGTTAAGAACCTCACTACAGCAAAAGCGAACATGATCGCCTCAGCACTCGCTCAGCTTCCACAAAAGGTCAAGAAAATCCAGATAAATGATTGTGTGTTGAAGTCTTGTAGCGTTTATTAGCCAACTTTGAACTATGTAAGTCAGGGGTTTTCAAAGTGATGGAGGGTTGATGTCCCATTCATCCATGTTTCACTGATTTTATGGGGTTTATCTGCCTTAGCTATGCATAGCACCTCATGATGCGTCAGCTGCCTTGTCATTTAGTGTTAAGAGTATTACCTGCTTTCTTCGGTGGTTGCAGTTTCTCTTAATATCCTGTCAAAACGTTCCCAGGGTTTGGCAGACCACACTGTCAGTGGAGCATCTTCAGATCCAACCCCAACCTGAACAATCAAGTTCAAAGTTCCTTTTATTTTGCTTAGCCCACATTCTTTCTCCTTACTGATCACAGCTTTAGGTCTTAAAGAGCTATACATGTTTTCTCTTCAAAGCATAGGCTAAATAGGTGAAGTTGGCTAAATGACTGCACTTACTTGTTCTGGTTTTTGTTTCCCCTCCATTGACTCCTGCTGAAGAGCTCTGGCGCCCTCTAGAGGCACCAGAACATCTAAAAGCTGTGATGTTGGTTCTCCCAGACATCAAGATTTGTTGTGTTGCTAGCATCAAAAGTCAGGGAAGGGAAGTCTGAGTCAGCAGCATGTGGCAGACCTGCAAATAGCACTACTGACTAAAAATTGCATATACATAATATAAAAGAAACAAAACAGCTAAGAATACTTCTGACCAAAATTTGATACTGTTTAAAAAAACATCCTGTAGCCATTGCTTAACCCACTACAAAACACTTGTTTGACCCTTTTTAGGTGCTGTGGAGATACAGTGGCCAGAAACCCCAGACTCTGGGTTCAAACACCAGAATACGACTGGATCCCACAGAACGACCTGCTGGGTGGGTAAATAATAGCATCAACAACACTGTATAATAATTTAAGCTAAAATTAAAATAAATGAGATACAGAAAAACTACACGGCAAGTCCAGTTGTGACACTGCTAACTAGATTAGTTTCTAAATGGTCCAAAAGAAAATATTTTTCCATAAGATTATGAATTATGGAATATTAATTTTTTTTGATAAATAGAAGTACCTCAGAAAAAAACGCAAGTATGTGTAGTTACTCTGTTATTTATAAAATATGCTTCATACAATCCTAACTTGTTTTTTGTTTGATTTGATACAGCGCCGCTTTCAAGATAATTAATAATGGATGTTTGATAACATTGTTTTCAGGTCACCCTAAAACAAAAGTTTTCATCACTCATGGTGGAGCAAACGGGATCTATGAGGCCATCTACCACGGCGTTCCCATGGTGGGAATCCCCATGTTTGGTGACCAGCCAGACAACATGGTGCACATGGAGGCCAAAGGAGCTGCAGTCACTGTTCAATTTAACTTTCTGACAATTGAGAGCCTCAGAGATGCCGTAAACATGGTCATCAAAAATAAATCGTAAGTCGTTTTCTTTCCAATGACAAATTTTTATATATATTTTCAGTGTATCAAATCAAACGTACATTAACATACAGTTAACATTCAAAGGAAGTATATCATCAATCAAGACAATTTTTAAAGGAAATTCGACCTAAACAGTTTTTTGCACTCAGTCCGTTTAGTCCAGATTTTGGGGGGATTCTGATGGAGAGTGACAACTTTTCAATGACATAAAAGTTGCACATTGTTTGTCACTGGATAAATCAGTAATAGAAGAATCCAATTTAAATAATTTTCTAGAGAGCTTTCTTATTGGAACAAGCAACATAATTTTTCATCTATCATAGTTAACATACATCACCCAAGCAGATTGTTTCACATTTGAAGGAAACTTTAGCGAAATTTGCTGAATATCTGCAGTCAAATTTTGTGGTTTATTTTGGGCCCACACTTTAAAAAGCCTAACCAAAGCCATTTACAAGTTTTATAAAACTTATTAATTATTCCATCATTTGAGTTTGAGTGGACAAATGCAAAAATGGCCATTGAGTTATGGCGGAAAGCAGTTGGATGCATCACAATAGGGGTCTGGACAAGATGTTCTCCAACTTGAGACCTTTTGAAAAAAGAATGCAAATAAATATCTTGGAAAGAAAACTTAAGGTAAAGCATAATGTATACAGACAGCTAAGTTATTTATTTTCCCTTGTCATTCACAGGTACAAGGAAAACATGATGCGACTGTCCAGAATCCACCATGACAGACCCATGAATCCTCGAGACGAGGCGGTCTTCTGGATCGAGTTCACCATGAGGAACAAAGGAGCCAAACACCTGAGGGTCCAGGCCCACGAACTCACCTGGTACCAGTACCACAGCCTGGACGTCCTAGCTTTGTTCCTTGTTATAGATCTGCTCCTCATCTTCATCCTCTTCAAGAGCTGCAGATTCTGTTTCAAGAGATGCTGCAGCAGAAAACCGACAAAGAGAAAAGCAGAATAACAGACTGAAGCGAGGTACACTGTTCAGGTGCTTTTCTAACATAATAAGAATCTATTTTGTGGTTTTAAAATGTACACATTTACACAATAGCAAAAAAAAAAACAGGACTGAAGAGAAATTAGTGTTTAACAGTATAATTTTTTAGTAGTTTTTGTATTTATCTCCTTAGTCCATTTCTCAAATTCTGAGCAGCTTTCCAGGTCCTGAAAAAATGACCAAAGTATGACACTGCCACTACCATGCATCAACATGGCACCACTGTGAAAAATCTAGAATGCCTCTAGAAAGAAAACCGATTTATGGACTGGCTTCTCTTAAGAGCCAGCGCTTAAACCATGAACTATTTTCCCAATCACATTTTCACTCTGTCATACTAAATTATGTATTAAATGCTATTTTTCTTTATCAATTATGTATACAAATATTGTACTATTATGTGTAAACTAAACCCATGTTTTTAGTGTACTTTGCTTTCGTTCTGTACTGTACAACAAGACAAAGTTTCAACAAAGCTGTAAAAATTTGGAACAAACTTCCAGAAAACTAAAACAGCGGAAACCCTGACTTCCTTTAAATCTCAACTAAAAACGCACCTGTTTAGAATTGTATTTGAAACGTAATATGGAACAATGTATTGTTTATTCTATGTTGCATGACTTTGTGTTTATGATTTAAAGCACTTTGAAACGCCTTACTGCTGAAATGTGCGATACAAATAAAATTTGATTTTGATTTAAAAAGAGGCTGCATTTATTAACATCAAGCAAAAATCATGATGGACAAAGAACTCTGCAGCTGAAGAAGAGCCGGGGCCACAGAACCGAAGACTGTCCTGCATGGGGACCAATCCGCCAGCCCCACAACATATGGCTTCAAATCACACTTCTCTTGTCAGCTGCTGTTCAGACCCCAAAGACAAAGGCAAAGACCAGGGCAAATATGAAGTTCAAGACAAAGACCAAGGCAAAAATAAAGACCCAAGTCCTGTGTGACCTCACCATCCATGGAGAGACGAAAGCTCATCACACCAACAGAGATCCCTGCCTTCATCGATCCTCCTGCTGTAACACTTTCTTCATCATCAGGGTTCAAAAATCCTGTGCTCCGTCCAACTCTCTCAAAGGTTCCCTTTTTAATTCGCAGTGTCAGCATTGGGGAAAGACAGGCGAGATGATTGATTTTACATATTTGATTATTACTGTGAATGAATTAAGCTCTACTGACCCTTGCAAAAATGCTTTACTAATAAATAGCATAAAGAAAATCTAAAAGATGTTGTGGACATTCAATTAATGAGTCACCACAAAGTTCTTTGGTCGTAAAATAGCTATGATGTTTGATTCTGGGGAGGAAAAGGTGATTCTACAGGTTGCTCTTAGCCAAAAACAACATCCTTGGGACTCACCCAAGACACTGAAAACCTGGTTCAGTCACAACTGCAAGTTGTAATAAGAGACAGCGCGACCGTTAACAGATGTGCTCTGTGAATGGTCTGCAGGCTGCTCAGTCTAGCTAATTCACAGGGGGAAGAGGGATGAGGTATCTGAATGGAGGTCGTAAGAAGTCTTTCTCAACACCAGCTAAACATAGTTTACTTCAATTCTGGACAGGGGTAAATCCCAGCAGATTTAAGAAACTCATTTCACCCATTAGAGAGCTGGTAGGACATCTCCCCTCTCAGAAGAGAAAGTAGAGACTGAAGTGGGTGAAGGGGTTGTTGCACAACAGCAATATTATACCACAAATGAATTTGTGGTATAATACAGACATTTGTCTGTAATGGTGCATTGCAAAGCATTTGTGCTAGGGGCAGCCAAAAGCCTGGGTGAGTCTACATAAAGACATAAGTTATCTTTGCAGTTGTTAACCTTTTGCCTAACTAAGAACTTTCCAGGGGTGAACTGTTATCATGCATTATTCTGTACAACGAGCAGAAGTCAAAGTTCATTTAGTTAATCAGTATCTTTAAGGTACAGCTGTTATAAAAACCGCAGCTGGTTTATCTACAGACACACAGCCACCATGGAGCTGCGTCTCTCTGTCTGCGTCCTGCTGCTACTTTGTGCTGCAAAAACATCAAATGGAGGGAAGATTTTGGTGTGGTACACTGAGGCCAGTCACTGGCTCAACATGAAGCCGGTACTGGAGACACTGGTGGACAGAGGGCACCAGGTGACGGTCCTGGTCCCAAGCGCGTCGATGTTCATGAACAGCAGCGAACCGTCTCGCTTCCAGTACGAACCCTTTGACGTTGACGTTTCAGTGAAAGATATAGAAAAGTGTTTTGATGATCTTCTTCACTTCGCCATTTATGAGATGGATTTTATGAACCCCATTCAGATTTACATGAAATTTATAGATTTAACAAAGAACAACATGAAAATTTCTTTAAAGTTTTTGGATGGCGTGTTGAAATCAGAAAACATCATGAAGAAGCTGAAGGAGGGAAACTACGATGTGCTATTTGCTGATCCGATCTACCCTGGCTACGACCTGACAGCAGACATCCTGGGAATTCCTTTTGTTCTTTCTTTGCGTTTTTCCTTGGCTCATCACTGGGAGAGGATGTGTGGTCAGCTTCCTGCTCCACCGTCCTTTGTTCCAGCTGCTATGAGCAAACTCACAGACAAGATGGACTTCTCAAAGAGACTGTTCAACTTCCTCTTCTATGCTCTGCAGGACGTTGTAATAAACCAGTTCATGTTGAAAGATATTGACAAATATTACTCTGAAATCAAAGGTGAGAAACCCATTAGTATTTTTGAATATTCAAATTTTTCTAAGTTACCATAAAAGCTTAAAAATCTTTTCCTTATTGTTATGTGTCCACTATAAAAGGAACACCCATTACCCACTGCAAGATGCTGGGAAAGGCGGATATCTGGCTGCTGAGAACCTACTGGGATTTTGATTTTCCTCGTCCACTCCTCCCCAACTTTAAATTTGTTGGAGGGATTCACTGCAAACCAGCTAAAGCTTTACCAAAGGTGGGATTAAATCCACCAATTCAAATAATCAGTCAACAAAATTCTGAATTTAAAACCAACTAACTGGCTCAATGACGAAAAATATGACTATTTTGCAGGAAATGGAAAAGTTTGTCCAAAGCTCAGGAGATGCTGGGATTGTTGTCTTCTCTTTAGGATCAATGGTTAAGAACCTCACTACAGCAAAAGCGAACATGATCGCCTCAGCGCTCGCTCAGCTTCCACAAAAGGTCAAGAAAATCCAGATAAATGATTGTGTGTTGAAGTCTTGTAGCGTTTATTAGCCAACTTTGAACTATGTAAGTCAGGGGTTTTCAAAGTGATGGAGGTTGATGTCCCATTCATCCATGTTTCACTGATTTTATGGGGTTTATCTGCCTTAGCTATGCATAGCACCCTCATGATGCGTCAGCTGCCTTGTCATTTAGTGTTAAGAGTATTACCTGCTTTCTTCGGTGGTTGCAGTTCTCTTAATATCCTGTCAAAACGTTCCCAGGGTTTGGCAGACCACACTGTCAGTGGAGCATCTTCAGATCCAACCCCAACCTGAACAATCAAGTTCAAAGTTCCTTTTATTTAGCTTAGCCCACATTCTTTCTCCTTACTGATCACAGCTTTAGGTCTTAAAGAGCTATACATGTTTTCTCTTCAAAGCATAGGCTAAATAGGTGAAGTTGGCTAAATGACTGCACTTACTTGTTCTGGTTTATTGTTTCCCCTCCATTGACTCCTGCTGAAGAGCTCTGGCGCCCTCTAGAGGCACCAGAACATCTAAAAGCTGTGATGTTGGTTCTCCCAGACATCAAGATTTGTTGTGTTGCTAGCATCAAAAGTCAGGGAAGGGAAGTCTGGGTCAGCAGCATGTGGCAGACCTGCAAATAGCACTACTGACTAAAAATTGCATACATAATATAAAAAATACATAATATAAAAGAAACAAAACAGCTAAGAATACTTCTGACCAAAATTTGATACTGTTTAAAAAAACATCCTGTAGCCATTGCTTAACCCACTACAAAACACTTGTTTGACCCTTTTTAGGTGCTGTGGAGATACAGTGGCCAGAAACCCCAGACTCTGGGTTCAAACACCAGAATATACGACTGGATCCCACAGAACGACCTGCTGGGTGGGTAAATAATAGCATCAACAACACTGTATAATAATTTAAGCTAAAATTAAAATAAATGAGATACAGAAAAACTACACGGCAAGTCCAGTTGTGACACTGCTAACTAGATTAGTTTCTAAATGGTCCAAAAGAAAATATTTTTCCATAAGATTATGAATTATGGAATATTAATTATTTTTGATAAATAGAAGTACCTCAGAAAAAACGCAAGTATGTGTAGTTACTCTGTTATTTATAAAATATGCTTCATACAATCCTAACTTGTTTTTTGTTTGATTTGATACAGCGCCGCTTTCAAGATAATTAATAATGGATGTTTGATAACATTGTTTTCAGGTCACCCTAAAACAAAAGTTTTCATCACTCATGGTGGAGCAAACGGGATCTATGAGGCCATCTACCACGGCGTTCCCATGGTGGGAATCCCCATGTTTGCTGACCAGCCAGAGAACCTGGTGCACATGGAGGCCAAAGGAGCTGCAGTTAGTGTTCAATTTAACTTTATGACAAATGAGAGCCTCAGAGATGCCGTAAACATGGTCATCAATAACAAATCGTAAGTAGTTTTCTTTCCTTATGTGGCAACTATCATATTTATGGTAACAAAGCACGGTTTATTCATCCTTATTGGGTAGAATGACCATGGAGTCATGATGTAAAGCATTATCAAAATTCAACATTTTGGACTTCTGGTTCAGGCAGTAGAGGTGTGTGATTCTGCATATTTTAGTACCAATCCAAAACCAAGCAAACAACAGGGGCACCATCACCAATAAATAATTTTTAGGATTTAGGTTTGACATATTATCAAACTTCTGTTTTTACATTTGAATTAGTTTGTCAAAAAGTAGGACAGAATTTTGAAAAAATTTAAGCAAATGTTTTGCATTGTATGTATATTGACATGAACATACAATAGAAAAACAAATTAGCGAAGATTTATTCTTAAAACAAAGTGCAAATTAAAAAAAAATGTTTTGAAAAAGACGTGAAAACTAATACATAAACATAAAATATCAAGAGTAAATCCAAAATTAAAGTATCGATCCTATACTGATCAATACTGAGTTGATATTGATCTTGTCAATATTTTTGATCAGTCCACCTCTGTCAAGCAGATAATTCAGAAAAACACTTCTTATCATTTTGAGAATAGATGTTCACTTTCTGAGACTTTTGATAAAGAAGAAAAATTACTTAATAAAAAAATTGAAGATGTAACAGTTTGTGGGGTTTTGGTAAATAAATCACAAAAACCAAGCATCATTTACACAAACGCAAACTTTGAAGCAATCATTCATTAAACTTAGTAAAATCTCCCAAGCTCTTCAATTTTTTTCCTCATTCATCAACAGCTACAAAGAAAATGCAATGCGACTGTCCAAAATCCACCATGACAGACCCATGAGTCCTCGAGACGAGGCCGTCTTCTGGATCGAGTTCACCATGAGGAACAAAGGAGCCAAACACCTGAGGGTCCAGGCCCACGAACTCACCTGGTACCAGTACCACAGCCTGGACGTCCTAGCCTTGTTCCTTGTTATAGATCTGCTTCTCATCTTCATCCTCTTCAAGAGCTGCAGATTCTGTTTCAAGAGATGCTGGGGCAAAAAAAAGGCAAAAAGAAAAACTGAATGAAAAAACAGAAGTGCGTTTTCCTGTTGTTTTTTTCCAAACTGAATATGAATTTATGTTTGGTGTAGCTACACCAAACATAAATTCAGCTCTGAAACTTTTTTGTTTCAGAGCTGAAACATTATTAATTACAAAAAAAGTGTTTATTAGCAAATGTAGGAGTTTTCTTCCTACATGTGTTTAAGAATGTACATGTATTATGTTTTTTTGTACTATACTGTACTCTGATCTGATCATTAAAAAGTGATATACATCAAATGGTCACCTCTTCAATTACATCTTTATAAAATGGGGTATTATTAAAAATAGACTTTTAACCTACCATCATGCTATGTCATTTCCTTATCAAAAGCATACCTGGAGATATTTGGACTCTTTTATGCATGTCTTGAATTTCCAGTGGCAGCCATTAGTCTCCTCATACAATATTTGCCCAAAGCTCCTCCTAACTGGATTTCACACACTAATAAACGCATTAACTGAATCGCATGTACAAGTAATCGAAGTGAACTAGTTCTTTGATCATTAGTCAGTGTACACTTCAGGCATAGTGTAACACAGAGCAAAGTGCGTGTTTGTGTATGTATATATAAATTGTATCCAAAATAATAATAGTTTATATTTCCTATGATATTTTTAATTGATGCAAATATTTAGAGCCACCTAGTGGTGAGATGACGGACTGCATGCGACGGGTCCCTCATGCACTCTCGCGGCTTCCCCCGCCAGAATTGCGAGCATTGCTGGTGGAGGTAGGCGGAGAGAGGCAGCTCTTCATTATTTTTTTTAACTTGGGATCATATTTTTCCAATTCAACAATTAACAAAATATTATAAGAACATTTAACATCTACAAATATAATTTGTAAAGTTTTACCGTGGTTGGGCTGGGAAAAATATGACCCTATGAGTGGGAGCTGCACTACTTGGTGTTGGCAGCTGATCACTCAGTCACAATGCTCTTATTTTTCAGCTGAGCAGCCACTCGCAGGCAGGCAGTCACATTGTGAAGAATTGTCATTCTTTATCGTGTTAGGTGACAAGCAAGCAAACGGGGAAGGTTACAATAAACTAAACATGACCCATCATTTGAACGTTAGCCATTAGCACTAACGGCTGTTAACTACTTGTGTATTTAACACAAGTGTTAGAACTAACTCGTCATCAGTCTACTTCTCAGTTTTATCAATCTTTTTATATAAGTTCTACCTGAACTGATTACTACCGGAGACATACAACCCATCTGTTTGACTAAGACCGACAGGTCGGAGGTGCATGTTAGGATCAGCCGTTGGCAGGATTTATTCTACCCCGCGTCTGCCTGCTGTTGATCGGTACCTCTGGACACTGTGCGCCCTCCAGTGGCGTCTCTGTGTAACAAAATTGTAAAACTGAAGCTGTATTTGCTCATACTTGTCATTTGAAATTAAATAATAGCAATAAGATGGTCTACTTTATTTATTTTGTTATAAACACCACCTGAACTGCAAATATATCTACACTGGCTTTTTGTTATTGACTGAATTTAACCCTTTACGCAGGCAAGAAAAAGAGACAGGAAATAAAACAAAAAATTATGTTGACAAAATTAGACAAATGTTGAAATATGAGCTCAAGAACACAAGAAAATGGGGAGATATTACTCCTGGTGGAAAAGATAAAAAAGAGGACAGGAAGTAGTAGGAGGATGACTATAGGTGATAGTAACTTAATTAGTAGATTAGTAGTAAGAGGTAGTTTGAAGATGCCGTAGGTCCTCCTTAAGGTGCAAGTGCAATGATGTGGCTTCCATTAAATTAACAAGGCATGAGTTTGCATATAATAACTACATTGACATGCCAGTCAGTTAGAATGAAACAATATTAATTTACTTCTTGGTGATAACAGTTCATCCTGGTAAATTAAAGGAATTTCAATTCATGTTTAATGCCAAACTGGATGGTATATAAATTAAATTTCAAACAACACCAATGTGAATCACAATCAGTTTGAACTTTCTCTGCTTAGGCTCAACCCAGGAAATCTATTAAAGAGGTAAATGGACGGCTGCTATCTTACATCATTAGGTACAAAGAGAAATAAGTCAGAGTTCATTTAGTTAATCAGTATCTTTAAGGTGCAGCTCATAAAAACATAACAGCTGGTTTTTCTACAGACACACAGCCACTATGGAGCTGCGTCTCTCTGTCTGCGTCCTGCTGCTACTTTGTGCTGCAGAAAACTCAAATGGAGGGAAGATTTTGGTGTGGTACACTGAGGCCAGCCACTGGATCAACATGAAGCCGGTACTGGAAACACTGGTGGACAGAGGACACCAGGTGACGGTTCTGATCCCGAGCGCGTCGATGTTCATGAACAGCAGCGAACCGTCTCGCTTCCAGTACGAACCTTTTAACATCTCTGTCTCCCTGAAGGATATGGAACGGTTTCTTCAGGAGTTTCTTCACTTCGGCATTTACGAGATGGATTTTATGGGCTACTTTCAGATTTACATTAGATTTATAGAACTGTTAAAGAACAACATGAAGGTTTCTTTCAGTATGTTGGATGGAGTTGTGAAATCAGAAACAATCATGAAGAAGCTGAAGGAGGGAAACTACGACGTGCTTTTTTCCGATCCCGTCTACCCCGGCAGTGACCTCACTGCGGACATTTTGGACATTCCTCTTGTCTACTCTTTGCGTTTTTCCTTGGCTCATCACTGGGAGAGGATGTGTGGTCAGCTTCCTGCTCCACCGTCCTTTGTTCCGGGTGCTATGAGCAAACTCACAGACAAGATGGACTTCTCAGAAAGACTGTGGAACGTTATCTTCTACGCTGTGCAGGACGTTGTAATGGACCAGTTCATGTGGAAAGAAGTTGACAAATATTACTCTGAAGTCAGAGGTAAGCAAATTATAAAGAATCCCAGAAGAGAAACAATCTATGTATTATATAATGTCAAATAAAGCTTAAAAGTCTTCAGTGTAGTTTACGATTAACATGTCTTACTCGTCCACTTCAAAACAGGAACACCCACCAGTGCCTGTAAGATGATGGGTAATGCTGATATCTGGTTGATGAGAACCTACTGGGATTTTGATTTTCCTCGTCCACTCCTCCCCAATTTCAAATTTATTGGAGGGATCCACTGCAAACCAGCTAAACCATTACCAAAGGTTCAGTTATAATCCACCAATTTAAACCCCATTACATCACAACAATATTCCTGATGTAAAATAGGTTTATCTACCCACATAAGTCTGAGTAAGGGTCACCTGAATGGTTTACGAAGTGTTTATGACTATTTTGCAGGAAATGGAAATGTTTGTCCAGAGCTCTGGAGATGCTGGGATTGTTGTCTTCTCTTTAGGATCGATGGTCAAGAACCTGACCACAGAGAAAGCGAACATGATCGCATCGGCCCTCGCTCAGATTCCACAAAAGGTCAAGAATTGATCATTTAAACTTCCAAGCAGCTGAATTAAGCGTTTCATGAGTATGACCCAAGTTGTTTCTCTTTCTATATGTGGTGTTTAAAATGAATATGTGCATGGATCAAATAGAAATGGATAATTACGACTCTAGTATAAAGCACACTGACACACCAGAGTGACTAGCATAGCGCTATGTAAATTCTGAATATGTCTCATTTCATCTGCTTCTTATAAAAGGAGCAAAGTTTAACTGTCTGATTTTCTCAAGTTCTAAAAAATTAAGTTACAATTTAAAATATTTATAGGTGCTCTGGAGATACAGCGGAGAAAAACCTCAAACTCTGGGTTCCAATACAAGAGTTTATGACTGGATTCCCCAGAATGACCTGCTGGGTGAGTAAACACAAGAAGCATTTCTTAAATAGCTATTTAAACAGCATATCGTAATACTTGCACAGTTAGATAGCCAACATATAATGAATTGGAATAGTTGTAGCTCTCTTCACAACATAAGATAGAGGTCGAGTCTTTGAAACAGCCGTTTTGTCTTAATTGCCATCATCATCATGTCATAATATCAAGAACCTATGTTATGTAAAATGGAGCCAAAGGCAAGTACATATAATGCAAAAAGAAGAATGCCAAGAATGGAGCCCATTGGCACCCCACAAGAAAGGGGATGAAAAGACAAAACTAAAAGAAAACTTATTTTACTCCAACCGGCTCAAGGCAGAATTTTGTAATAATACACCTATTGTTTGATGATCTAGGTGAGATCAATCATTTTTTGGTGAATTGAATGAAAAGGCTGGAGCAAACTCAAAAACCATAAAAGAAACCACAATATCACCAGTCTTTGACCAGTAGGATGTCAATAAAAATTAAAAGGGTTGATTTTGTACTTTGGCCGGAAGCCAAGCACAAAGTTTCTGAAAAACCTCACTAATATTGTTTCTATTTACAAAACCCTTTAGTTATGCAAAAAGCAGCTTTTTCTAAGGCTTAAGACAAGAATAAATGCCTAGACATAAATCTAAAATTGGATGATGATGATTCATATCAGATTTTCTGTTTGCTCATATTTATGTCAATGCAAAAAGAAGCTGATAAAACTATTTTATAAAGCCAGGACTTTAGAGCTGCAGCCTACATCATTATTATACCATAAAAAATAAACAACAAATATATAATAACGTTGGTTTCTACCAGGTCATCCTAAAACAAAGGCTTTCATCACGCATGGTGGGACAAACGGGATCTATGAGGCCATCTACCACGGCGTTCCCATGGTGGGAATCCCCATGTTTGGTGACCAGCCAGACAACATGGTGCACATGGAGGCCAAAGGAGCTGCAGTTACTGTTAAACTGAACTTTATGACTATTGAGAGCCTGAGAGATGCTGTCAACACCATCATCAATGACAAATCGTAAGTACTTCATCTTATTTTTTACTATTTTGATGATGTTTACAATAATCAAACACTTTTTCTGCATTCTTGGCAATCAAAAATACAATACAAAAGACAAAGTTTAGAAGGCGTTTAAATATACACCAATTTATACAAGGGGTGCACAGACTGCAGTTTTCCGGCCAATCACCGATTTTAAAAGGCTTAATCTGCCGATTACAATTTTTTTTGTCTGAAATGTTGCACAATGTAGCAAGAACGTTTTTGAGTTGGCAACAGTGGGGTCACTATTGTGAATAATAAATGTGTGGACGTAACTTGGGAGGGTCAGCGTATCAATCAAACCTTTGTCACAAAAGAGCAAAAGAGGACAGTGGTTAATTCTTAGACCTCTGCCAACCTAGGTAAGATCGGCCTCATATATAAAAATCGGTCGATCACTGCTCTCCCAAAATTAATCTGGAAATCTGCATGGATAAATCGGCAGGATGATAAATTGGTGCACCACTAATAAAAATTTCTAGAGTGCACATTTACTTATGAACGTTTATGATTTATTCAAATCATAAATAAATATTATGATTCATTTCATAAATGACAACATTTTTATCCCTTCACAATGTGTCCCCCTTCATTTAGCAAATGTTGTAATTGGTTAAAAATTCTTGCTATTGTGGCAATCTCCCTATTAGATGAGTTAAAACCTGACAGGCACTTGTACAAACTCATCCACAGATACAAAGAAAACGTGATGCGACTGTCCAAAATCCACCATGACAGACCCATGAGTCCTCGGGACGAGGCCGTCTTCTGGATCGAGTTCACCATGAGGAACAAAGGTGCCAAACACCTGAGGGTCCAGGCCCACGAACTCACCTGGTACCAGTACCACAACCTGGACGCCCTAGCCTTGTTCCTTGTTATAGATCTGCTCCTCATCTTCATCCTCTTCAAGAGTTGCAGATTCTGTTTCAAGAGATGCTGCAGCAGAAAACAGACAAAGAGAAAAGCTGAATGACAGACTGAAGTGAGGTACACTGTGCAGGTGTTTTCCAAACTGAATATGAATTTATGTTTGGTGTTGTGACACTTTTCTGTTTCAGAGCTGAAACATTTTTAATTACAAAAAAGTTTTTATTAGCAAATGTAGGGCTTTTTTTTCTACATGTGTTTAAGAATGTACATGTATTAAGTTTTTTTGTACTATACTGTACTCTGATCTGATCATTAAAAAGTGATATACATCAAATGGTCACAGAGCATCACTTTTTCAATTACATCTTTATAAAATGGGATATTATTAAAAATAGACTTTAAACTTAACATCATGCTATGTCATTTCCTTATCAAAAGCATACCTGGAGATATTTGGACTCTTTTATACATGTCTTGAATCTCCAGTGGCAGCCATTAGTCTCCTCATACAATATTTGCCCAAAGCTCCTCCTAACTGGATTTCTCACACTAATAAATGCATTAACTGAATCGCATATACAAGTAATAGAAGAAAAACAGCTCTTTGATAATTACTCAGTGTACACTTCAGGCACAAACTAAACATCATTTGATCGTTAGCCGTTAGCACTAACAGCTGTTACATACTTCTCATAATATTTAACACAATTGTGAGAAATAACTCGTCATCGGTCAACTCCTCACAGTTTTATCAATCTTTTTGTAGAAGTTTTACCTGAGCTGATTAATACCGCAGACATACAATCCATCTGTTTGGCTGAGATCAACAGGTTGGAGGTGCAACCTCCAACCAGCCGTTGGCAGGATTTATTCTCCCGCGCCTCTGCCTGCTGTTGATCGGTACCTCTGGACACTGTGCGCCCTCTAGTGGTCCTCCCCAACTTCATCCTCTTCATGAGTTGCAGGTTCTGTTTCAAGAGATGCTGGGGCAAAAAAACAACCAAAGAGAAAAGCTGAATGAAAACATTGAAGTCAAAGCGGTGTTTAAGATATATCTTAATTAAAAAAAAAACGTTCACATGTCTGATCATGACTAATGTTTATATTTTCTGATTACATATCCATTTGAAATATCAAATACAAGCATCTTTAAAGCCAAAAATCATTTCACCTCAGCATGACCAGGCCACCAATATACTTATCTGTGAAGAGAGTATATTCAATAGATAGTTGGCGTTTTTTTAAAAAACATTTTTTGTTTGTTTCAATGTGTTTAAAAGCCTTTTTATTGCACTCAAGTTAAAAGTGCTACATAACTTTAAGAGAGCATCAATTTTATCAAATACATTTTTATAAACAGCTTGTATTATGCTTCATCATATTATAATGTCATCCTCATGAAAAATATTCTTGCGGTGTTGCTCTGATTCAGAAAGCGGTTTCCGAATAGTAAATCAACAAGAAAACCCTTTGCTTTTTCAGCGGTCACTGAACAGCGACTAGAGCGGTAAAACCAGCTGACCAAATGCACTGGAGTTCCACTTGTGTTGTTCTTTGACACACTTGGCTGGCTGAGGTTGCTAGTTAACGACACAATGCCTATTAACTATCGGGAGATTTTTGAAGAGACAGAGGTCAAGGTGTCAGAGACAGCTGTGATGTTAAAATCCAATTTCAGTTAAACATAAGCTAAAAACATCAAACTTAAGCTATGTTTGATATAAAAACATAAATTAACATAGCCACTTGATTGTGCTATAAAATGACACTTTCATTCATTCATTGAATATATCTCAAATTATCATAAAAAAAAAAAAAAAACATTTGTACCGGATATAAAACAAAAGTAGAACAAAAATATGCAAAGGGGATTATATGTTTTTTCATCTACTGTAACTTGAAGGCAAATGTACATGAACTTGTGAGTAAAAATTACCTTCAAAAATGTGATAACAGTTGGAAGTTGTATTTTGTAACCTTTAAAATCCCTGAGTAATCAGACAAAAATATGGATGAAGAGAAATTAAATACTTAGTTACCAGGCTCAACTATTCTCAATGTTCAAACTATTTATCAATTTGCCCTGAATTTGTTTTACATCTCTGAGCTTTTGCACTTTTCTAGCTATAACCCTTCACCTCTTCAATCGTTTTTCCGGGGTGAGCTTGTTAACTTACATCATTACATCATTGTGGACATTAGGTACAAAGAGGAGCAAGTCAGAGTTCATGTGGTTGATAAGTATCTATAGATACACTTTGTACAGTCCACTTGTTACAAAGACTACAGCTGTCTTTATCTACAGACACACAGCCACCATGGAGCTGCGTCTCTCTGTCTGCGTCCTGCTGCTACTTTGTGCTGCAAAAACATCAAATGGAGGGAAGATTTTGGTGTGGTACACTGAGGCCAGCCACTGGCTCAACATGAAGCCGGTACTGGAAACACTGGTGGACAGAGGGCACCAGGTGACGGTCCTGGTCCCCAGCACATCGCTGTTCATGAACAGCAGCGAACCGTCTCGCTTCCAGTACGAACCTTTTGATGTTGACGTCTCCCTGGATGTTGTGGAAAGGTTTGTTGAGGAGTTCTTACATTTCAACATGTACGAGATGGACTTCATGAACCCTGTTCAGATTTACATGAAATTTATACAATTAATGAAGAACAACATGAACATAACTTTGAAGTTTTTGGATGGAGTGGTGAAATCGGAAACCACCATGAAGAAGCTCAGGGAGGGAAACTACGACCTGCTATTTGCGGATCCCATCTACTCCGGCAGCGACCTGACTGCAGACATTTTGGGCATTCCTCTTGTCTTTTCCTTGCGTTTCTCAATGGTCAATAACTGGGAGAGGCTGTGCGGTCAGCTACCTGCTCCACCTTCCTTTGTCCCTGGTTCCATGAGCAAACTAACCGATAAGATGGACTTCTCAGGGAGACTGTGGAACGTTATTTTCTACGCTTTGCAAGACTTTGTCCTGGAACACGTTATGTGGAAAGAGGTTGACCAATATTACTCTGAAATCAGAGGTAAGTAATCTAGAATTATCACAAAAATACAAAGACATGTGGAAAATACTTAGTAAAAATGGTGTTATAACCCTTCCATTGTCTACTGTAACAGGAACACCCACCAGTGCCTGTAAGATGATGGGTAATGCTGATATCTGGCTGCTGAGAACCTACTGGGATTTTGATTTTCCTCGTCCGTTCCTCCCCAACTTCAAATTTGTTGGAGGGATCCACTGCAAACCAGCTAAACCTTTGCCAAAGGTGTGGTTATAATCCACCACTGTAATTAAACACTCTTAAATCTTGATGTAAACAAAAACCACATTAAAAACACAATTCTGACTGAAGTCAACTAACTGGGTTCCTGAAGCTGAAAATGTAACTATTTTTCAGAAAATGGAAAAGTTTGTCCAGAGCTCTGGAGATGCTGGGATTGTTGTTTTCTCTTTAGGATCGATGGTCAAAAACCTGACCACAGACAAAGCGAACATGATCGCCTCAGCGCTCGCTCAGATTCCACAAAAGGTCAGTAGGATCTCCAAATATCACCTGTAATCAGGATTATAGTAGGTACAGCCTCTCTTGTTTGGTCATCATAATCAACCACTAAGTAGCACAGACTTTTTGTCAAGTTTAGATTGATTTTCCCAAACTGAGAATAGCATTGAACCCAGATATTTTGTATCATGGATATAACATGAAAGCCTTTTTTTTTCTCACTACTATATCAAATCAGAATTAACTTTTAATATTTTTTTAATAAGTAACTCAGGATTACTAAAACTATTTCTGTTTCCTAAATGCTTACGCCTCATCCCAGTGCTAGCTTTAGCATTCATGGCTGACTCTGCTAACAGAGAGCAACGGAGAGGGTGTGAGTAGCGTATACATGAGGATGATTAGCAGTGTTAAAGTCCTCCTCCTGGCTCTTATTGGTTCTGGCCATACTATGTATTTTCTAGTTAGCACTGGGATAAGGTAGAGGACCTTGATTTTTTTCACATATTATTTGTCTCGTACCATGATTTCTTCACATAGTGGCAGTTTTAATAAATGTGTGAAAACATTTTTTTAAATAAAAGTTAAATGCTCCAGCTTTGAAATTCAGAAGAGCAAATGTAACTCCCCAGTATTTGGTAAAATTATTTTTATACTTGCATGGCTTGGGTCAAACCTTTTGGATGTTTCTTCAGACTTGTAGAAATAGTTTGCTGGACATTTGGCCCATTCCTCTGACAGAACTGGTGTGACGGAGTCAGGTTTAAATTGAGATTGGGCCTTTGTGATGGTCACTCTGACTAGCCACACTGAAATGCTCTCCGTCTGCAGGTGTTATGGAGATACAGTGGGAAAATACCAGATACTCTGGGTTCCAACACTAAACTTTATGACTGGATGCCCCAAAATGACCTGCTGGGTGAGTAAACCGAACGGCTTGCAGCAAAAGTACGGTACACCAAAACATAATGGTAAATTTACAGTGAAATTACAATGTCACGCAAGAAAAAAATAAAAATCAAGCTAAAGGATGAGCAAAAACATCAGAAAAATTAGCGATAAAAAACTGCAATGAACAGGATGTGCAACTGGAAGCGTGACAAACAAAACAGACTTTCAAGCACAACACTGTTTAGAAACTATAGTAAGATGTGATTTTCATCTGGAACGCATTCGCGTATCAAAAGGCCTTTCCGTCTGAACTGTTATACAGAAATTAAAATAAATGTGTTATAACCGGTTCCTGTCAGGTCACCCTAAAACCAGAGCTTTCATCACTCACGGCGGCGCAAACGGAGTTTTTGAGGCCATCTACCACGGCGTTCCCATGGTGGGAATCCCCACGTTCGCTGATCAGCCGGACAACATGGTTCACATGGAGGCCAAAGGAGCTGCAGTTGTTGTCGACTTGAACTTCATGACAACTGAAGACCTCAGAGATGCAATTAACACCGTCATCAATGACAAATCGTAAGTTACTTTGTGCGATTGTTGGGCATTTATTGTACAGTTTATCATATATTGTAAGAAATTCCAATTAATGCTATTTTTTAAAAAACTGTTATTCTGTCAAAACTGTTCGTATTAACAGAATCTTTAGTCTTGCCACTTTCTCTCTACTGCTTAATGAAAATACAAATAAATATCAATTTGTTTGAAAATATGATACAAATCACGCTTCTTTTTGTAGTAGTGTATGACAGGTGGGAATGTTTTTCAAAACCAGTATTTGTGATTCCTATGATACCGACACAGTTACCTAAAAAACAAATCTACAAATAATTTATAGAAAATAAAGTATCACTGTGAAAAGCAGTACTACTGTAAAATCAGCCTGTACATTTTATGCAAGCTGCTAATTCTCTGTTATTTATGGGAGAGCCATGCTTTCAAATTACAGCTTGGAATGGCAGAAAAAAGATGCACTGTAATATATATGTTTTAAAAAATGTGTTTTTTCCTCATCCATCAACAGCTACAAAGAAAATGCAATGCGACTGTCCAGAATCCACCATGACAGACCCATGAGTCCTCGGGACGAGGCCGTCTTCTGGATCGAGTTCACCATGAGGAACAAAGGAGCCAAACACCTGAGGGTCCAGGCCCACGAACTCACCTGGTACCAGTACCACAGCCTGGACGTCCTAGCCTTCCTCCTTGTTATAGATCTGCTCCTCATCTTCATCCTCTTCAAGAGCTGCAGATTCTGTTTCAAGAGATGCTGCAGCAGAAAACAGACAAAGAGAAAAGCTGAGTGAAAAAAATGAAATGAATAAATCTGATGACTGAACAAAAGGACATTTCCTAAAGTTGTACCAATATGTGTTGTATTCTTAAATTGTCTTTAAAATATGCAGTTGTATGGTTTTGTCTCATTTATTTCCATGGTTTTAACTGAAATATCTCTACCAAACTGTTTACAACTACCATAAATATTCAGAGGGAACATGGCACAAAATGTCTTGCAACCAATATTAGATTAACATAATGATATGTTTTTCATAAAAGTGCTAATCAACAGTTTGTTCATGGAAGTATCATTATGAGGCAATTACTTTTGAATTCAAATTTATGTTTGAAATAAAAGCGTGAAATAAAAAACTTGCATATTATGTATGTTGAACGCATAGTAAGGTTTCACGTTTAGTAGTAAAATATTATATATATTTTATATTATAAAAAAATAAAGAGTCAAATAAGTCTTAAGGTATACCACTGTACATTATTTAATGACACATATAATTATACATTTCTTTAATTTCATAAAATATTAATGTTGGCTGATATCAATAATTATTGGATTAGTTTTTGTTTTAAATATTTGAAATATTGTCAAATTGGTGTGACATTTCCTGTTTTATAGTTTCCTCTTGATTTTCTCCTTTCACTCCACGCCAATGTTTTTTTTTTTTAAACAGTTATGAAGCAAAGTGACAAAATCTTAGACTGCTGCTGTCCAAGTTGGACAACAGGCTGTTGCTAGTTAACCAAAAAGTGAGTGAGTTAGTTGATGCCACCAACTTTTCTTAGCTAGCTGTGAGAGGTCACAAAGCCTTTCCTCTGTCTAAATCTCCCAGAAAGCTGTGCAGTTCTGGATCGGACTTTAGTAAATTTAGTGATATTCTATCAGATGTACTATTTATAGATACTGATCACGTCTCACACAATATATATTGTTTTTGATTTATTGCACAGAAACCAGAAATCTAGAAACCAGACCTAAAATATTTTGCAAGATTTTGTGTTTTTACAGTGTACAGCCAGTAAAAGGCTCAATAAAGATCCTCAATTCACTGCTAGGTTAGCCGTTATATCTCCAGCTGTTTTTATGGGGTGAGGCTGTTATCTTTTGTACTTCAGAACCAATAGCACAGAGTCAGAGTCCATTTAGTTAATAAATATCTCTCAGGTGAACCTGTTAAAAAGACTACAGCTGTCTTTATCTACAGACACACAGCCACCATGGAGCTGCGTCTCTCTGTCTGTGTCCTGCTGCTACTTTGTGCTGCAGAAAACTCAAATGGAGGGAATATTTTGGTGTGGTACACTGAGGCCAGCCACTGGATCAACATGAAGCCGGTACTGGAAACACTAGTGGACAGAGGACACCAGGTGACGGTCCTGATCCCGAGCGCGTCGATGTTCATGAACAGCAGCGAACCGTCTCGCTTCCAGTACGAACCTTTTGATGTTTCTGTTCCATTAGAGGATTTGGAGGATCTTCTGGAGGAGTTTAATCACTTCTCTATGTATGAGATTGATCACATGAACTACTACCAGATTTATATCAAATATATGGATATAATGAGAACTGACCTTCAGAATAGTCTTAAGATGCTAGACGGCGTGGTGAAATCAGAAACCCTGATGAAGAAGCTGAAGAAGGGAAACTACGACCTGCTCTTTGCTGACCCCCTCCTGCCTGGCAGTGACCTGACAGCAGACATGTTGGGAATCCCTCTGGTCTTTTCTTTACGTTTTTCCTTGGCTCATCACTGGGAGAGGATGTGTGGTCAGCTTCCTGCTCCTCCCTCCTTCGTCCCTGGAGTTATGAGCAAACTCACAGACAAAATGAATTTCTCAGAGAGACTGTGGAACGTCCTCTTCTACGCTCTGCAGGACGTCGTGATCGACCATGTTATGTGGAATATGTTAGATGAATACTACTCAGAAGTCAAAGGTGAGAAATTCAGCAAGAATCCTCAACATACAAAGCTCCCACAAGTCTGAACCGCAAGCGATCCGTGCCACTGACCCGCCATCTTGGTAGGCAAACGCAGCACAAAGCATAGGAGAACCATGTCTTTGAGAGACTGACAAAAAGATAATATGGGATAAAAAGTTTAAAACTTCACAGCTGTAATGTCCTTAATTGTTTACAAGCCAGTTGCTTGTGGCTTGTTTATTGTTGTCATAGTAACTCCATAGCAACAGTTCGTTACGCATACCTACCAAAATGGCTGTCAGCTTCAAAGTTCCTGGAGAACTATGAATACACTTATGCAGCACATGAAGTTTGGAAATTGTTTTCGGTGAAGTTTATTACGCTAAATGCTTTGTATCAGGAACACCCACCAGTGCCTGTGAGTTGATGGGAAAGGCGGATATCTGGCTGATGAGAACCTACTGGGATTTTGATTTTCCTCGTCCGTTCCTCCCCAACTTTAAATTTGTTGGAGGGATCCACTGCAAACCAGCTAAACCTTTACCAAAGGTAGGAATTTTTAAAAACAATATAAACGAATCGCATTCTGTCTCCATAAAAAAAAAAAAATAAAAAAACACTGACTAAAAATTTACTGATATTTCAGGACATGGAAGAATTTGTGCAGAGCTCTGGAGAGAACGGCATCGTGGTCTTCACTTTGGGATCCATGATTAAGAATGTAACCACAGAGAAGGCGAACCTAATAGCTTCAGCCCTTGCTCAGCTTCCCCAAAAGGTTGGCAATATGTCCACTGTTTTCTCCAAATGACCCACATTTATTGCCTGACGCAATTTTTCCAAACTTGTCTCTGATCAGACGGGTGCTGGCACTCACCTAGAGGTTTATTAGCTTCATAGGTAACTATTCACTACTAGCACAAGCAGAACCTTACATTCAATTTATCTGGCCTTTATATATGCAGAAGAAAATCACATTCTTGATATAAACTGGTTCCAACTTAAAAAAATGTACCTAGATTTTACATTTCTTTTCACTTTCTGAAGATTAACTATATCCTTTCGCTTGCTTAGGTTTGCTGTAGTTTGATATAAAAGGATTTTCTTCTGAAATACTGTTTTTTATTGTTAAGCAAATTTTCCAAACCTCCCAGTTAATCACTATGCAAAGATGAAAACATCAAAAACATTTACATTCTGTTAAGCTTTCTCAAGGTTCTGTGTTGTTTCTAGGTACTGTGGCGATACAACGGTGAAAAACCAAAAACTTTAAGTTCCAACACCAGAATATTCAGCTGGATCCCTCAGAACGACCTGCTGGGTGAGTGAAGTTTGTGTCATTCAGAGATTTGTGCCTGAATGACACGAACTGCCTGATTTTGCTGCCAACACTGAAATGTAACAAAGGTGCTCAACAGAAGTTACTGCAGCGTTCAAGTTATTGATTGAATAAAAATGAATAAAAGCCAAGTTACTGAAAAAGAAAACATGTCATTCGCCAAAATCCGGTGCAGTATGAACATGGGTGAACTCACCATTTGGCTTGAGACCTTTGAAATGTCTTTATATAAAATAACTTCAATGGCTTTAGTTTGAAAATGAACTCACACTCCTGTTTTTGTGTTTTGGTTTGTACCAGGTCATCCTAAAACCAAAGCTTTCATCACTCACGGTGGGACAAACGGGATCTATGAGGCCATCTACCACGGCGTTCCCATGGTGGGAATCCCCATGTTTGCTGACCAGCCAGACAACATGGTGCACATGGAGGCCAAAGGAGCTGCAGTCATTCAGAACCTGAACTTCATGACAACCGAGAGTCTCAGAGATGCAATTAAGGCCGTCATTAATGACAAATCGTACGTTTTGAATAACAAATATTGAGAAATTATCAAAACAGTTCATTTATACGACTTAAAAGGTTTCAGATTTTGAAGAAATCAACAACACAAGTGTCTCCCAATGAATTTGCATATCACAAAGTGAACCAAGAAATCTGATCTAATTTCTGTACGCACAAAAAAAACCCCACAACGCTTAGCTTTGTAAGCATTAACGTAAAAGTCCACATTTTCAAAATTGTTAGAGAAAAGTTGCTATTGTCTCTAGAATACAACTTTGAATTGTTGTAAAGGGTTAGCCTTTACAACAGCCTTGCTATTGTGGCAATTTCCCTATTTAATGAGTTAAAAACTGACTTGTACAAACTCATCCACAGGTACAAAGAAAACATGATGCGACTGTCCAGAATCCACCATGACAGACCCATGAGTCCTCGGGACGAAGCCGTCTTCTGGATCGAGTTCACCATGAGGAACAAAGGTGCCAAACACCTGAGGGTCCAGGCCCACGAACTCACCTGGTACCAGTACCAGAGCCTGGACGTCCTAGCCTTCCTCCTTGTTATAGATCTGCTCCTCATCTTCATCCTCTTCAAGAGCTGCAGATTCTGTTTCAAGAGATGCTGCAGCAGAAAACAGACAAAGAGAAAGGCAGAATAACAGACTCTAGATTTTAGTTTTTGTCACCACTGACACTAGTAACAGAGACGTGGGAGCTAAGAAGTCAGAATTTTATGACAGAATTTTTAGGTCACATGATAACAAACTCCAAAATAAAAAAATTCAATTATGAGAAGATATTGCAAGAAGAAAACTTGTACGAGAATAAAGTCATATAGTAATAAAGTTGAAACAATATGTAAATAGAGTTATGATATTTTGAGAATACAATTTTAAGAGAATAGTCAAAATAATGAGAATAAATATTTTGAGAATAAAGTCATAGTATTACGACCAATCAATGTTACTCCATCACACACAATAAATATATGATCCAAAATGACCTCGTGCTCATTATTTAAAATAGTAAAAACCATAAAAACAGACTTTTCCTAAAGTATACTCATTAGGACAAGATTAAAAGAAATATAAATATTACAAATTGCTTAATTGAATTTTGGGATCTTAAGACGACTATAATAAAGTCATAATATAAAAAAGAACAAATAAAGAACAATAAAGTCACATTTCAAAAATTAACTCACATTATGACATAATTTTTGTAATTTATTTATATATCTTCAAATACTCCATAGCTGAATTTCCAATATGGCGAGGGTCGTTGTTTCCTTCACCACACATACAGCTTTAGAAGCGGTTTTACTTTCTATAAACAAACACCACTTTTAATGTGGGTCAGTGCAAAAGCGCTATGTATAACATTGATTTAAGACACACTCTTGCTTTTGTGTCTTGATAAATAAACGTTTTTTTCTTCTTCTTCCTGTTGATCATCGGAGCTGGCCGCCATATTGAAACGGGAAGTCTGTGGAACTGGTTGGACTTTCAGACTGGGATCGGTTTTGTTGGACTTTCCTGATTTGGAATGACGTCATTATACATCGCACCTGCGCTAATGAGCTGCACCTGAAACTAATTAGATATAAACTGAATCTACGTTGGCTGGTTATGAGTTAGGGAGGGACAACATTTATTTATTTTTATTTTTTTTGCCTTTATTTGGGAACCACTTAAGAGTAGCTTTATCTCATAAATATTCATATAGACATTATACATGGGCTATAACTCAAATGTCAATTAGCAGAAAACGTATCAAATTATAAACACAATAACAGCCCTACTTGTCTTCAAATACACAATCATACACATCACGTTTCATGTATAATTAGTGGCAGTTCCTCATTTTTTCAGTTTCCCATCTTCTTTCATCTTCCACAGCATCAGCTCCATGCAGGCAGCTGCGTCTTCTCCAGTGTCATGGCCACAAACTGGGAGAAACAGCAGCACACGAATTTAACATGCTGCAGTTTTAAAACACACTCCATTCCTTTATTAGTTTATATTCCGTTAATCTTTGACAATGATTAAAGCGGTTGTGATTTTAACAGATTATTAGAAACAAAACCAGTTGTTTGTAAAGTGGCAACCCACCACTCTCCTGAATAATCCTCCTCAGGTATTCAGCAGTGAGGCTGTGGAGGCTCAGCTTGTTGGGCGGACCCAGACGATGGGGGAAGACCACCGAAGTGTCTACCACCGTCCCATGAAGCAGCTACAGCACAAAAAACATTGGAAGTTGCCGTCAGACCCTCCGCAGTTTAATTCATATTCCAACATGCAGAGGTGAATAAAAAAGCCAGTTGGGACGCTCCAGAAGAATGGTTGGTGACTTTTGCACATGGATGCTTCTATTAGGCGTTCATTTGCCGCTCAAAATTCCTTGATGAATAAAGTAACTTACTTGAGCAGGTTTTAATAATTTCATTGTACTGAATACAACAGGGTTTCTGCAGCTTTCACCAACTGACATTGTAGGCATTTAAAGATCTTATGGATTAAACTTAAAGCTGCAGTATGTCACTTAGTTTTTTTTTTTGCACATTTGCTAAAATCATCATTATGTCATGACAGTATAAGGGATAATCTTTGGAAAGAAATCAAGCTTACTGCAGGAATATAGTCAGACAGAAACGACCAATCAGAGCCAGGAGGAGGATCTTAGTGCTGTCAATCACTCATGCTCACCCCCTCCTGTTTGCTCTTTGCCAACATAAGCTGCCATGAATGCTAAGGCTAGTTAGCATTGCCATTGATAACAGCAGACAAATGGTTTTCCTATTTCTTCACCATTAGCACATTTAACAACATATACATGACAGTTATTGACAACACCAAAACCCACCTCCCAGCTCTGAGTGGTAGTTTCTGACAATAGTAGCTCACTGACGAGGTGAGAAAGATCATTCTTCATATTATAATGTAACAACATGGCAACGGTTTTGACACAGATGGAAAAAAAAAACATTTTTTAAGACCATATCCTGACAAAAATGTACAAAAAAAATACACATTTTATGTTTTAGTAGTTGCAAGCTTTTTAGCACAAATACACATAATATATGGGTTTGCAACAAAATGTGAGCCAGTAGCAAAGATAAATGTCGTCCAGCCAGCTGGCAATAAATTTATACTTTTCAATGATAAATATAAAAACCTCGCTAGCTAGAAAAGGTATGCTAGCAGCTACTTAGCGGTAGCCTAAATCACAGAAGACATTTATGTGATGGAAAAGTCCAGCAAGAAAAATTATCTGCATAGAATATTATATATTGCAAAGTCCTACCAGCTAAGATTTAAGACTTGAAATTCATTTAAGCCAACTTACCTTTTTAAATGAATTTCAGACATTGTAAGACCTTAAGTCTTAGACATTAAGAATAAAGACATCATGAATAAAAAATTGGCTTATTTAAAGCTTCATATCTCTAAAACATCAGGCATTAATTTTAATAAACAGTGATGAATACAGCTGGAACAGCTAGTGTGAAAATAAAACAGTCCGAATTAAAATAGATTTAGAGAGCAAAGTGTGTTACTCGTCTAAACTTAAAAAAAAAAAAAAAATACAGAACTGCCTGATATTTGAGCAATAATCCCCAAATTTCAGATCATTATCCTCTAAAAAAAGAAACAAATGTTAGCAACAGTCACCTTCAGTAAACAAAGGTCTGTTTCCAGCCCATGTCCAATGAGAATAGTGTCAGCAGTGATGAAGCTCAACAGAGTCTCTTGGACCTCCCTGAGGGAGGTACGGTTACCTTTCACGTCCTCCTCACTGATGCCTGAAAACCTACACAGTTTAAGAGCGGAGGGAATGAATAAAGAAAGTTGGTGCAAAGGGAAATAAGAGGAAAAGCAGCCAAAAGCACTGAATTACAAACAACCAGCACAGCAACATATCCAAGACGTTTTTGGTTAAACTTTCCAGATTATTAAATTCTTCTATGTTAACTTCAGTAACAGTTGTAGGTTTTAATTTTCATATGCCATAAAACTGGTCAATACAAAACTATAAGTATTGTGCAAAGCAAGATGAATAAATTAAAAACTGGAGTAAAAAAGTGAGCGAGTCTGCGTGATTTTTGTTTAACTTCTGTGCAGGATGACTGAAATATGAGCTGTTATTGTTACAGGTTGATTTTTTAAGCTACAAAAATATGAGAAAAAGTTACAATTTACATTCTGAATGTAATATTACTTGTCTCTAAAATAAAATTCAACAAAAGTAACTATTAGGGATGCACAAATGTGAAGATTTGGGTCAATTTTGATATTCAACTTTAATATTCTTGTTGGCAGTATCTACCAATATTTTTGTGATCAGTCAATTAGTCGTCACAATACTTGATTACCAAAATAATCACCTACTGCAGCTGTGGAAAAAATACAAAATAAACAAGAGCTCTTCTGCCTTCTCCCAGGGCTAACTAGAAACAACCAATCAGAACCAGGAGGGTCTTAGTGCTGTCAATCATGCTTGAGTACACAGTACTCACACGTTCCCCGTTATACAGCCTGTCATGAGTGCTAAGGCTAGTTAGCATGGCCACCAATGATGGCAAATAAACCGTTTTCCTGGAAGATGAGTCGTTTCTCCTTCATTAGCACGTCAAGCAGCGCGTGCATAAGCTTGACTGACAGCGCTAAGACGCTCCTCCTGGCTCTGATTGGTTGTTTTGTACCTGGAGTGGAGCAATTCTTCAGATGGCAGTAGTACATCTGGGAGGAGGTGGAGGAGATTGATGTTTCATGTTTTATTATGTTATTATTTTTTTACATATGTAAAAAAAATTGTTATATACAAAAACAAAAAGACCATAGAGCTGGTCAATAATTAAAGGAAAGGATTGATGATTTTAATGTCAATTTTTCTCTTTTTTTCCATTGATTATTTTTATTTGCATTTTTACATACAAATACAAAAAATTTTTTATAAAAGTTGATGCAATTTCTTCATCTTTTGCAAGATGTCAATGCCATTTTCTATAAACAAATTCTGGTCGAATAAAAATTCTGCCTGTAAATCTGCTAAGGGAATAAATACCTTTAACTTTAATGCTAACTTAGACCAACTGTAGACATAAACCTGGGGCTGGACTCCGTCTGTATAGTCGTTACCTGGTGTTATAGTCGATGACCTCATTATCAGGTCTGACAAACGTGTCGTAGACGACCTGCAGACTGGAGCTGATCACCGTCACTCTGGACAGCTCCAGGCCCTGAACAGTGTAACACTGAAGCCACAAGGTTTTAATCACTAAAACAAATATTCTAGAAAAAGCCACACATAAATAAATGTTTTTATAAATTACCATTTCACAATCCAAGGAATAAACTCCAGGACAGCTGGAGTCTGAGGGGCATCTGGGTGCTGTAGATACAAACCCATCCAGACTGAGGTAATCATGGACATGCAGCTGGTTAAAAAACAAGAAAAATAAAACTAATGTTAAACTTCTATTGGTCCCGTTTTATCAGTGTCCACTAAATGAGTTCTGACCTTAAACATTTGACATCCCGGCGCTCCCATGACTCCCTGACAGCAGCTGTAGCGAGTTTCCACCCCACCTGGAACTGCAGCAAACAAAACACTGTTGCTGCTTCACTCTGTTTGCACATCATAAATTTTAACTGGCTTATTTCAGGCTCACTTGTAATACATTTTATATTTTCCTATTTGCAGTAAGACTGGGCAATAAATCGCTTTTATTGAGCCACTGAATTTTTGGAAAATCTGGATTTTTTCCAACATTCACTTTGTGGATTTCCACAGTTCAGAGTGACATCAGAACATCAAGTCTCTTTCAGTGACATTTTCTGTAATTTCTATTTTAGCAAAGATGTAATAATTTAATTAAAAATCTGATTTTGTTTTTCAGCCTGGGCCTGCTTTGCAGTACTTCAAACGACATCAGACCCTGAAGACAAGCTGGTTTCTGACCTCGGTTTGTAACTCCTTTCCCGTAGTGGTAGTTGCACTCT